TTTGGGGACAAAAAAACAAACCTGCATAGAAATCGGAATAATAGGTCTTTTGATTATTGGAGACGCATTTTAATGGACTTGATTAGGGACAATGCATAACTTAAATTTCACCAGGAAATTCCGCAGTGTGCTCTCGCAATCGCGTACTTAGTCATTTTTACAAGGTTCGCCATTTTTGATGTCACGTGATAATTATGTAAACAATGTCTGTCCAGTTTGTGCGAACTTGCACCTCTATACTTAGTCTTTTGATATATATAACCTAAATTACTGTTCTGAACGAGACAACAGACAGAGAATGTTTTATTTAAAAACGTCACAAAACCTTCTCGCTACCTTAAGTCAGTAAAGCATTGAAAGACAGCGCCATCAGTAAGAGTTTATTGTAATCTTTTGTTTTTTTAAATATCAACTCAGTCTTGTCTCTTTCAGATCATTGGGTTATTCTGACAGGTTACGAGTTCAAGTTAGTCGCATTAGTATGTACGACTATGAGAGACTCAATTATGAGAAAGAAAAACTGAAAAAAGCTTGTAAGTATTGCTTTTTCATCATTTTTCAGATATGAGATTTAATGGGACCCATTCTTTGTTTTTTGTTCAATTTTTAAGCAATGTAGTACTGAACCAAACTGAACTACTGTAAATGCATTAATTATTCACTGGGTCAATAAAAATAAATGTTTTCTCATTTGCTACGACAAAAACAATTTTTGCTGTTGTATGACATACTGTAGAATACTTTATTTTTGCTTGGAATTTATTTTCGCTGTTTTCGCTGAAGGAATGATTCTGTGAAAATAAAATCCAGCAAATATACTTTTTTTCCTATATTTCAAATTAAACTCATCAAAAAGCCAGTGAAAATAAATTCCAAGCAAAATGCCCAAAAAGCTTTTTCAGCGAAAATAAAGTATTCCACAGTATGCAATTATGAATAAATCTGCTGCTAATGGCCCTTCAACCATTATTTCCATTGTCATTGACTTGTAACATTTCATGTTTATTTAATTAGTATCAATTTAGGAATGTTTGATTGAATAAAAACAAAAGTATTGTTAAATTTTGACATTGATGGCGCTGCATTAATTTCTGTCTATTTATCTAATTCATCGTAATTCTTTTTCCAGCTGTTCCATTGGGTATTATCGTCGTCGATAGCGACAGTGATTTAGAAGAAATCCGAGCTCATATAAATCGATTGTTAGAGGTATTCATACTGCAGGATGCTGCATCAGCCAATGGGAACAAAGTCAGTTTATCACCCATGTGGTGCTTTCTAGATTGTAAGTCAACCTCCAATCACAGTGCAGTATAAAGTCACGTGACTCAGGCAGAAAACTACAGGGACTGTAATTAACAGCAGAATACAGTGTCCCATTGATAAATCGTATTCTACTACATATATTATTAAGTTTGCGAGAATTTATTAGTTTAAGTTCTTTTCCATTTACCATAAACTATTTGATTTTGCTGCCCAAAATTTTGAACGTTTTCAGGATTTCATGGCATCAGCAAAAACAATATTCCACAAAATTCACTGGCACATTTTTTCGTAGGATCCTGGAGAAATTGTAACTGCTTTTTGCATTAAAAAGCGTTTGTCTCTTGTGAATTTAAATTGAAGTGGTTTACAGTTTGCACAAAATAAATTGTCTTTTATAGTCATATAGTAATCTATTTCATTAACAATTAATGAATATTTATAGATCGACCAATATTACATAGCTATTTCCCTTCACACCCCCTCACTTGATGTACATGCTTTATTTTTTCATTTTTTTTTACTTTTGCTCTTTTGCTCGATAAATAAAATCTGCTAAAATAAATCTGCGTGAACATGTAAAATAAGTCTGTGAACTTAAAGTGCAGTGGTCGTCATGCAGTATGTGTTTGAATTTCATGTAAATAAACAATGTATTTTACATGCGTTGTATATGTCGCTATGAGTTCCATATCGAACAGGACGCGGCGCGACGACTGTCGCCCTTTAAAACCTAGTGAAATTGCTCAAAGCATCAAATAGGAAAATTAAATTCCCATGAAATTAATTGGTTTTAGAGTACTAATTGGGATTCCAATTCCAATGTGGGTAAATTTTCAGTTTTCATTCAATAATTTGGCTATTTTTATCCCATTCTTCTGAAAGTGCAGACTATAAATGAATTTGTGATGGAAAGGTTAATATCAAGAGAGACAAATTTTCTTTCATGGCAAATTGTTTTTTAGTCACAAATGCCACAGAATCATCAATGAATAAAACTTCCCATAATGCATTGCATATATGTCCAATCACATGCTCAGTGTTGCAAATCATGATGAATTTAACACACACTGCTATAAATAAGTATGGGGAATTTTTTTTTTCATTTTCCAGCTACAACAGCGGATCGCTTCTTCCGAGTTGACAAATCCCAGGAACATCTTCACTACATCACAGATATTTCCTCTGATGATCTGTATGTCTTAGACCCCGAACTCACCATAGCTTCCGCTGTTACCCAAGAATCAATGCCTGATATACTTAATACCGATAGTGCTGCCATTGAGAATGCTGGGAATCTTGTAGCGGTCGGGAACGGGGATGCAAAGTATGTTTTCATTTATTAAAATCAGTTTTAGATTATTAAATAAAATATGATATCGTTTCAGCTGTATGTTTTTTTTTCAAATTTATGTAAACGTATGCTAATCTCTTCTGAGTGTTATTAGTGTGTTTTGTACCTGTTATTAGTGTAATTTTTTAACATACTGACATTGAAATAGACTCAACTCAGATCATAGATTTTAATTAAGCTTTATGAATATAGCGCCCTCTATAGTTCAAATTATTAATTATGGAGGTATTCCAACAATTGCATTTTGGGAATCGATTTTCAATTTTGACCAATCAAATTAAATAATGACACAATTTTTTTGGGAGACATTACGGATATTGCGCTATGATTTATCATGACATGAAAACACTGTTCTTGTAGTACACATCAGAGTATTTATTTGATGAATGTGAAATTTTCTAATAGGCATGTGCACTTTAGGGACGACTTAAAAGATC